AAGCTCCAATCAGCTGCCATTCCCCAGAGGTACACACATTTATACATATGTGTATGTGTGTATACACATCAGACATGAGTGTTTGGCTGCTGAGAAAATAACAAGAACGAGGGAAAATCAAAGAGAGGAGAAAAGTTTACATGTCTTTGTAATGCTAGTATTCCTTTAGCTCATGAAAGCTCAGTAATTTTTATAGGCTGCTGCATTTACTGCTGTGATTTCCATAGAAATCAACTTAATTTCTAGTATTTGGTGCCCAAATGCAATCGTATGTTGTCTTTGAATTTAAGGGAAACTGAATCTCAAAGTTTTTCTAGGTACGGGGCCATAATAGAAAATGGAATTTGAGCATAAATAAATTTTGTCTTGTGTATGAAAGATAATTGCTCGGTTTATGTATTTTTTTTTCTTTCAGGTGTGTTGTTTTGGAAGCAAAAGAAGCAGAAGACAAGCATATTTTGTCAGTTCATAGCAAAAAACATGTTGATCTGATTAGGAATATAAGCTCCAAACAGTTTAATTCACGGAGAAATCGGATTGCGTCGAAATTCAATTCCATATATCTCAATGAAGGATCATCCGAAGCTGCCTACCTTGCCGCGGGATCTGCCATAGAGGTAATTCCTGTTGGCCTGATTTTGTGTTTGTTTGACGTGCTGAGTAGAATTTCCTTACACAGTGAAAATATGTGAAACTGTTGATTTCTGCTAATATCATGAGTCCTGTCTTCCTCTGAATTCAACCCACGATTTACACTTCTATTGCAGTTTCAAAATCAGTTACAAATGGAGCTATTTTCGCATGTTTCAGATAGTTTCAGTCTAAGTGTGTCTCCTGCAAATAAACTTATGTGTTACATTTCAAATTTTTACAACCTAACTATGGGTGTTTCCTTAAATAGGTGGCGGAAAGAGTTGCTAAAGGCGAACTGGATTCTGCTGTGGCTATCATTAGGCCTCCAGGACATCATGCGGAACAAGACGAAGCTATGGGATTTTGTCTGTACAACAATGTAGCTATTGCAGCAAGTGTCCTTTTAAATGAAAAAGTATGACCTGCCTTGTAGTTATTCAGAAATTAGGACTTAACTTTTGAGCCTTGGAATAATTGTTTTGAAAATTCGACTTTGTTTTCCGCATTTATTAAGTAAGTTGTCACCTAAGGGCATCATATTCATACTTTCTAATTGACAGCCAGAATTGGGTATCAACAAAATTTTGATTGTTGACTGGGATGTGCATCATGGTAACGGTACTCAAAAGATGTTCTGGAAGGATCCTCGTGTTTTATTCTTCTCTGTTCATAGGTATGCCTGAATTTTGAATTGATAATTGTTCTTTTCCTTGATCATTAAAGCCTATGTTTAACATAAACAAAGTTGAAGTTAGATTCCATCATGTAGTATTTTGTTAAGATGTGCTGCTTGGGGTTCCTTTGATTTTTCTTGAATTTAAGTTTTTTACAAGGTCATTTTTTTTACACTTTTCAAGGATTCTGTGACTTCAAAATTTCTAGCTTTTATCATTGTATCAAAAGTTATCTCATTGGAGCTTGTAGCATCTAACTTGTTTGGTTGACTTGTCTTGCATAAGATCAAAGTTCCTAATTCTGATGACAGTATGGTGCGGGGTTTTTTCAGGCATGAGTTTGGAAGTTTTTATCCAGCTAATGGTGACGGTTTCTATACTATGATTGGAGAAGGAGCAGGAGCAGGATACAACATTAATGTCCCCTGGGAAAATGCCGGGTGTGGGGATGCAGACTATTTTGCCGTTTGGGACCATATTTTGGTTCATGTTGCCAAGGAGTTTAATCCCGATTTAATTATAGTCTCTGCAGGATTTGATGCAGGTTGGTGGGCTAACTTTCTCTGTTTAATGCAGGTTGCAGAATGAGTTTTCATTTTGTTGTTGTGGAAATTTTTGCTTGTGGTAGTAGTGTAGTACACATCTTCAATATCTATTTAAGTTAGATAATTTTTTTTTTTTCTACAAATTTGTTGAAACAGCTGCTGGTGATCCTCTAGGGGGTTGTCGTGTCACGCCATATGGATACGCAGTTTTGTTGAAAAAGGTCGTTTTACAGTTTCTCTTTTCTCATTAAGATGGCCTTGATTATTGTATCATTTTTGACATAATTTTATTGTCTTTCAGTTGATGAGTTTTGCGAATGGAAAAATTGTGTTGGCTTTAGAAGGAGGATACAATCTCAAGTCTATTGCAAATTCAACTCTTTCTTGTGTTAAAGTTCTGCTGGACGACAATCCTATACATGGGTCTTCAGATGCATACCCATTTGGGTCTACATGGCGTGTGATTAAAGCGGTATATTAACATTTTGTACCTTTTTGTTTTAATACTTTTCCTATACTTTCTGTTGGGTTATCCATTTCTCCTTGTATTCATTCTACCTGATTTTTATTTACTGTGAGTCAATTCTTTGTTTCTTTAACGCATATGTATTTTTTCCAGGTTCGCCGGAAACTAAGTGCTTTCTGGCCATCACTTGCAGATGAATTACCAGAGACGCTAACCAATCAAACAGCTCCTCCAGCTTTGGTACGTTTCCTTTTCTCTTATCAGTACTTTGTTGTTTATTGCTTCTGGTTGGGTAGTCAATAGTTCTATTTGATCACTCGATTATCTCAAGACTCCCAGTACTTGGCATCTATTTCTTTTCTTCGCCACAAACATTGCTGGAATACTTGTTTTGCAATTGTAGTATATTCTCACCTCAAGCTCTGATTCTGAAGCGGAGGACAACGAAGGTCCAAATGTCATACCTAAACATCTTGAGGAGGTTCTTCAAGATGTTATAGAGCCCTTCTCAAAGTTGAAAGTTGACGAAAGTATTCAAGGTAAATTGATAACTGAGATTTAGGAAATGATTTCACTATTTGTTTTAGTTTATATGATGAGCTGTTAACTTAATCCAGATCATGTGGCAAGTAATTCTTGCATCTGGAGATCAGAGCTCTCAAAGGTTGAGATTTGGTATGCCGCTTTTGGATCAAATCTGTGTCTAAAAAGATTTCTCTGCTATATTGAAGGTGGACAGGTAATATGCAACCCAAAAACTTTTATCTAATATCGGTGTTGAATATGAAACAGACTAAGCATAATATGAGCTTCAGTATTTCACAGCAGCGGTTTTGGTTTTAAGCTTATAGTATCATGGATATTAGATAATTAATACTGTGATACTGCTCTTCTTTTCCCTCGTCTCCGCTTTTCTTCCCACTATACAGTCCTGTTGACATCCGCAAGATGATTTTCAGATGGAAGGTATGAAAAGGCCATATCTTGGTTGTGCGGACAAAACTCCCCCAAAGGAGATTTTGTGGAAGACCTTCCCTCATCGCTTGTTCTTTGGTCGTGAATCTACACTTACATGGGGTCCTGGAGGAGTCGCTTTCCTTAATCCCGAAAGCAACATCCAGGATAAGACTTATATGTGCCTGTATAGAATTACGTATGTTTTCTTGTCACACAAATCAGTCCTATTGTTTTAACTGCTGCTTTCTGTATAAATCATTTTCTTTTCAAACATCACACTTAAAAAATTGATTCTCCAATTGCCTGAATCCGGCATAGTTGTGTTTTAATCTCAGTTTTCTCTGGCAGGCTTGAGCAGTTTAACGATGTAATAGTCCAGGAAAACGTTGCAAGTTTTCCTATGAACTCTCCTTTGTTTGACTTGGCTGGTTTAGACTCAGTCATTAGTGAGGAGCCTCATTCTCTACAGGTTCAACTAAAGGTAGCGGAACTTGATATGCCTCCTCGTTTTAGAATGATTATACATAACTGTTACACTTACGCTGTTGATGTGCGCAATTTTGTTTCAGAAGTGTTGGTACGGTAATGTTATCTACTTGGGCAAGGAGCATGATATTCCGATACTAACAATGACGTATGCATCAAAGATTCTCTTTCATTTTTCTGTTTTCCTTTTTGTCAGAGGTGTTCTTGTCGATTTACTCGTGAAATCTGTGTGCATACGTAGTGAAGAACTCAATCCCTTTGGTCGGCTTTCATTTGATAATGTGCAGGTGTGCACAATCACAAATGGAGGGCTTCAAATCCGGGGAGATTCCCTTGTGTGCTCCGGCCAAAAATTATGTCAACGCAGTCGTGAGGGGCTTGGTGGAAGGAAAACAACTTTCGCAGGAGGCAGCTATGGCTTACTTACAAAAAGCTTCTGTTAACCCATGGGGATGACAACTTTTCATCCTTGCAGCGTTTGTATACTAGCTCATTTGTATAAATTCCTTATGCCGGAAACGGCAATTTATGGCCTCCTTAAGACCGAACTTGTAATGTGGTGTTGATGCTCTAGGTGTTGATATTGATACAGTAGTTAGCACCTTGAACATTTGAAATGGATCATATTAGTCTCTCTGCCGCTTAAGCAGAATTATCAAAGTAAGACTATCATTTATTATTACCGTTCGGACAAATTTTTTTTTTCAAGAACTCAACTTTTAAAGATATAAAGCTCAAAATATGACCACTTTTGCCTTTTCATTCGTTAATTTTGCAGTGTTTGGGTCCAAAGGTGCAATACAGTTTATTGCAGGGTGTGGCGAAGAAGTTGGCTAGTAGTATTTCAGGGGAAGCAAACTAAATGTCTGCCTAAAAACAAGAAGAAAGGTTTTCCCAAAAAATGACAGGGCCAAGTTTTTTCCGATGGTTTTGAGATATCTTCTGAATTTGGTGACCAAATTATCCTCCAAAAACTGTTAAAAAGGTTTTGGCGACAGAAAAAATTGTCGCCTAATTATTTGACCTGTCGTTAAAAATGTTTTTATCGACGACTAACACACGGTCGCTAATACATGGTCACTGAAAATATGTTTAGCAACCTTCAAAACCGCCACTAATAGTTTTTTTAGAAACGGTTAAAAAACCGCTGCTAAAAACATTTTTAGCAACGTTTAAAAAACCGCCGCTAAAAATCGGAGAGGTAATACATGCCTTACTGGTAGAAATTAGTAGAACTGCTTCAACAAACACATCACTAAATCCTTTTACCAACTCTGTATGCGTATCCATATTACATCAAAACATCTAGAACACTACCAAATTACATGACATCATGCTCGCGACACTTGACGAACTGGGAAAAAGTTTTCGTATAAGCCACCCCTTGTGAAGGTCATCCCGTTTTCTGCAAGGAATTTCATTTCCACATATACAAGGGCCGAACTTTCTCTGTGCACCTTCAGTCGACCGTCCATGCGTTCCGCATTGCATCCAGCCAGCCGTGTACCTAAAGTTCACGATATTAGATGGAAATCCGAAAAACTGTTTGCTATCGACTCAGACATTTGTAGCATGAGAAACAGAACAGTAGACAAATTTTAGGCAAATACAACGGAAAAGTGTTATTAGCACTCTAAAAATCTCGTTCTACACCCCTCACAAGTGTATTTCTTTCTAAATATAGAAAGTTTAGAGTGTAGAATAAGATTTTTGGAGTGCCAATAACAATTCTCATAAAACGCCCACTAAATAAATTTTCCCTACCACATTTTCCGGAACAACTTGGAATGACAGCCAACGTGAACTTTACAAAGACGTTACTAAGTCTACATGGTTGCCCATAATCATTCTTGTGCCAAATTACCTTGCACAAAATACTACTACTCAGAACACTAAACGTTCTACATCTACGTTTAATTCTGCCTTATGTTATACCCACTGCACATGAAATCATCATCTTAAACGCTTAAACAACATTCCAAAAGAATCCAACAAAAATTTCTAGCCTCCCAACCACAACATGTTTGCTAGATAAACCGCTCATATTTGAAAACAAAAAATGCCATTTTCTGAACATACAAGTTGCAATTTGACAAGAGCTAAAATGTTAGGCAATTTCATTCCTTTTGGGTGCACACATGGTTGAATTCACAAAGCTAAGAACCAAACAGCGTGACAGCTTTGGATACGTACCGTTTATGATAAAAGAGGGTTGTTGTACTTCTATCTGATCACCAAAAATAATGGAATGCTTCCTACAGAGATCTTTGACTATTTCTGTAACTTATAAAAATGAATGAATCGCCGCCAACCAATGTCGCCATGTTCTTTCTATGGCTGATAATTTAATCACATCATGTTAATATTCAGCAACTGTTCCCTCATCGATATTTCAGCTTTGCATGGCCGGTGTCACCCAAATGCATATGTAACTTGTTTCTGTCATGATAAAACCATCCAAATACAACTGATCAGAATCTAATATTATCTATAGCAGCAATGCATAAATGCCAGTCAGATGTCAAGGCAGATCAACCAGGAGTGGAAGCAATGAATTGCATCAGAAGAAATATAATTAACTTGATTCGAACTCCTCTCCAAATGTATCACATGCGTTGCTAGTATTCTTCAATGCTCCCTGCTTTGGGATATAGCATCAATTAGTGAACGGAACAAAGCAAGCATGAGCAACAAAGAAGCTTTTTAAAAGGATCATACCATACGCGAAGTTAGGAAATAAGCATTCAATCTAAGTTTCACGGTTACAAACTCAACAAGCCAGTGGATTATACACATTATGGTATTTCATGAAGCATAAAAAGCAAGGACTTTACCTTAGATTTCTTCCCATTAGATGAGTTCTTTAATTTGTCGTTCGCCTCTTTCTTCGCTTTCTCTTTCTTATCGACGGCTTTGCTTGAGCTCTTCTTCTTTCGTGCTAACTGTTCATTACTCTCATTTTCCACAACGGAATGAGATGTGGATTCCTTCATATTTGAATTATCTTGTTCATAACTCTCGTCACTCTGACCACCGTTGTTTCCACTTTTATCAACATTATTAGCTTCACAACCACTCTTCTTACCCCTCTCTTTCCTCGTGCCTCCTTACCTTCCTGCGCTCTTCCGGTTATTATATTCCATGAACCCCGTGTCATCGTCATCCTTCTCCGCACGAATATCTGTCACCAAGATATCCTCACGCTCGACCCAAAAGGCTGCATTTTTCTTACTCTTTCGCCCATTCACCAATGCTTCAAGAACACCCAATTCATCTTCATCACCATCCAACTCAAGTGCCTCGTCAACCTTTTCGCTCCCATTTTCAGCACCAAATTCATGCAACTCATCCTCCTGATCACTCACTCCTGCCCCATCTTCCTCCTCCCCAATCTTCAACCCCTCTCTAATCTCCTGACCTAATTCATCAACATCGTCAAGCTCACCCCTTTCTTCACCCTCTTCCTCCAAAATCTCTTCATCATCAAGTTCAAGATCTTCTTCTCCAATCGACTCCCGATACTCTGCAACCTTATCTCGATGCTTCTTCGACTGCTCGTGATTCTTCCACTGCTTCTCACTCTTAAACTTCTTCCCACACACTACACAACACAATTCCTCCTCCTCCACTTTCGCCCCCTCCGGCTCCTCATACGCCATAGCCCTCTCCAATTTCTCCTTCTCCAACTTCTTCTTCCTCTCTCTCTCCTCCTCCCTCTTCCTCACCCTCTCCTCCTCCTTCTTCAGCATCATATCAATCACCCTCTTGTCCCTCTTCTTCACAAAATCCGCCAACCCCCGCACCGTCTCGTTGAACTCTCTCTTCGCCTTCTTCCTCTCCTTCTTGTTCTCCTCCTCCATCAACCTCCTCGCCTTCCGGTTTGGACCGGCCATCACGTCATACTTGTCCTCCCAGCAAAAATCCATCACCGTACAAAACCCGTTATAAAACGCGGTGACCTGCACGTACGGACTCTCTAAATTCCCCATCGCCGGAGCTTCAGGCACGGTGTCCAACCCTAACCCTAATTTCCTAGCAAAATTGAGCTCGTTGGCGTAGATTTTGTTGAAGACATCAGAATATACCTCATAAAACCCACGGCCGGAGTCGGAGTAGCCGGAGAAGACGGTTGTGGAGAAGAATGAGAAGAGATCGGGGATGCCCGAGCCGGAGCTCGACGCGGCCTATCTGCGATCGGAGAAGAGGATTTGGGAGCGGTGAGAGTCGTACCAAGCTCGCTCTTTAGGGTCGGAGAGAACCTCGTAGGCATGGGCCAGCTCCTGGAACTGCGCTGTGGCTTCGGACTGGGACAAGCCGGACTGGACTAGCTTGTCCCGGTGGCGCTGGAGAGCGAGCTTCCTGTAAGCCGACCGGATCTCGTCGGCGGAGCAGTCGCGGGGGAGACCTAAAACCTCGTAGTGGCACTGCCTCTCCGACGCCGCCATGTTTTTTCAGTTGTTCGCCCCAAATTGTGGGATTTTGACAGCTGAGATTAGGAAACGGATTACATACAGGAATAGGATCCACTTCGGATACTCATTGTGAGGATTTGGAGGATCAATTAATCGTGTCCGTTCATTGTATATTGTATGGTTAGAAATTATTTAAAATTGAATATAAATAATATCTAACAAAAATTGACCGCACTATATACAATGAACAGACACGATTGATTAATTTTCTGAATCCTCACAAAAAACATCCGAAGAGGATCCTTGCCCTTACATAAAAGTCCCGCTGAGATTAGGATTGTATGAACTCAAGGGCTCCAAGAAGGCCCAAATAATAATGCATAACAATTTACACAATACGAGAATATTTGATTTATTCTTACAGGTTGATTTATATCCATCCTCACCTATTTAAGCTTTACTCTTTCTTAATTTTTGTTCTTTTTAATTTTTTGCTTTTTTTTTTATTTGTTATTTTCATGGCATGTTATTTTATTTTAATTCGTTTTCTAAGTTTCTTCACTCATTTTCCACTCGTAAAAGACGACATTGACTCACAACACCTATATTTAGAGATTACATTGATCGATTTTTAATTTTAAGAACCATCTTGATTAAACGGATCAATTCTAGGGATGATTTGGAAAAAAAAAAAAACACACATGTTATAAACACTTATAGACTATTTGACGTTCATTCTCCGTGATGTGTAAAGATGGATTTATTTTACAGGAATTCAATGTATTAATACTCCAATAACTATTACAAACTTTAACCTTAGCATCTGTTTTGTAGTACTTTCCAATTCATACAATACAATCCATTCAAACGGGTTCCTACAAAACACCCAAATACACACTTCCTTGTTCATCTTCCAATGAGTTTGACACGCCGGAAAGCATGTCACGGCGTACAGATTACAAGACTGCAGCAGCGCAGGCAGCGTAACGGAGGAACAATAGTACAAAGTACAGAACAATATCGTGCTGAATCAATCCATGGAACTTATCAAGTCTTGAAGATTAAGAACAAGCCAATCAGCCTTTGCAGCAACAGCCTCGCGTAGCTGAACACCAGCGTAGCAGATGAACAAGTCAGCACCTCCGGGTTGGCGTGCCTGGATACAGGGACAAATGGACATTTGACTAGTTTCGCCAACAAGCCTGAAGGAGTCAGCTTTAAGTGACAGATCGTACATGAAATACTCCCGATCCTTCCTTTCAAGGCTCGCTGAGCGGGGTTATGTTTTAGCTGTAACATTTAGTAGCGTGCGAGAGGCAGAAAACAGAAACACAATTTGCGTCAAGATTAAAGTTTGGACGTTTGAGTGAATTATTACCTCAAGATCAGTCGCGCCATCCCCGATCATGACTAGTTCCTTGTAATTGTGAGCCTGGAAAACCAGTTTTAATCAGCTTAAGCAACATACTCGACAACTAAAACATTGAGCAAACCGGAACAAACCAACCTTCCTTATCTGTTGCACTGCGGTGGCTTTTCCACCACTCCTTGAAGTGGGCTCATTTTTGTCAAACCCCAGAAACTCTCCAGAAGTTCCAAACAGTAGTTGATTCGCAAACACGTTTTCAGTTGGTATATCAAGAATCGCCGCCACAGGCTTCAGAAGAAATTACTTAGTATTACACATTGTCGGTTTATTCTCCATCACACGTTACTTCACTATGCTATATACTGCCATGATAAATGAGATAAAGCGAAGTAGCAATATAGCAAAGACACTCGTTTAGTTATTCAGCAGCATACTTTGATCATTTGACGGAAGCCTCCAGAGACCAGGTAAACGTCGGTGCCATTAGCCTTCAGCTTCTTGACTAATTCGACCATGCCAGGAGAAAGCCTACATAGAATTTACACAATGACTAGATTCAGAAGATTTTTCGTCATCAAATTGCCAAAAGTACAAATAATAAGCAGACACTAAATCACTTCATGTCTACGCTTTACCGATATCCCTAGAAGTAAGTAACTATTAGGAAGTCATTATTTGGCTTAACAATCCAGAAGCAATCTTTGTTGTCGGTAACACAGTTTAGAAGCCATCTTATATTGGAAAATTAGGCCATTATACTCAAATGGCTTTGCTTGAAAGAAGTACGCCAAAACTTTTACTCAACTTCAGAATTCCAGGTCGAGGACGGTTACAACTTACAATTCTCTCCCTCCCTACACCTCCCTCCCTCTGTCACACTCTCTAATTGCCGGGTTTTTATGTCCATTTTCAGAAACCTGAGAATACGTTCTGTGCACAAGAAGTCTTCAAACAGTGCGACAGAAGATTTCAAGTAAAAACTTTTCATGTTTAGATATGATAGACATGGCAATTGACATTGTCCAAGGCTGACAATGTTATAATATAAATAAATAGACGGAGGGGAACAATAGAAGCAATGGATAGCCCGGTACAATGCAGGCATATACTATGAGGACTAACTTTAATAGCACGTAATGGAATCTACTTAACCAAATGATGTGTTTGTTTGCTGTAAAGCAGCGGCTCACAGCAGATATGAAAGAAGACTGGTCCTAACTTGTGTTTTCACAGTCTAAAAAAGCTCAATAAGTTTAACAAGACTAAAAGGCATGCCCAAATTAAGCAAACAAGAAGGCAACATAAAGTCAAGACAGTTTAGAGTCATCATACTTTGGGGGGTTCTTTATGAGAAAATCTTGGACTTGAGACAGGGAAGGATTGAACAAAGATAGTCTAGCAGCCAAAGCCTCCTCAAAAGGTACTGAACCACCCATTGCCCTGCCAAGGATGAGAACTGCAGTCAGCCGAAAATCCTAGAGTACGGAGCAAATGAAGGGAATTCCAGTAACAACTCTAACCTAGCAGTCCATTCTGCAACAGTCTTTCCAGCTCCACAATGTTCTGCAAGTTCATCAATGCCCTCATCCAGGCAAACCGTGCTATCCACATCGAAGCATACCGCATCAGCATTTCTCCATAAATCAAGAACCTCTATAGACATTAAAATAACAACCATCACCCAAGGCCATATGACTCTGAACGTCTCGAGACTTGAACTTTACTTAGCTCTTTATTTTTCTTAAATCTCAACGGCTCAATCGACAAGCTCATACTCAATTGTTCTCCATCGTTTGAACATCAACTTCATACTTAACTTTATGGTCACACTTTCTACCAATTAAACATAATGTCACAAAGAAAAGTTTTCCGCTCCCACATATCAAACTTACCATATTCGATTCACATTTTTTTCCTCAAAACAATTAACCCCGGATGCAAATGCAAGTTCCCAGATTCGATCAACCACATTACCTTTGGATGGTAGCCTGTTGTCAAAGGGGCTCAATGTGGCTTCTAATGGTTGAGCTGAAGCAGCAATAGAGTTCAGTAATTTGGGATGTTTTCTCATTCCAACTTGACCGCTATTTCGATACAAACGTCTTGGACATTGCACTGAAGATGCAGAAACAAAAGAAAGTTGCTTTTGCCTCAAATGAATACGAACTGGGGTGACTCGCGACGATGCAGCCACCAATCCCTCCATGAAACTCTGCTCCCAACAAATCAACAAGCAATGATCATAAAGAAATACCTTTCAAAAACCAATCACAAATGCTCCAACACGTTGAAGAAATTGAATAATATTGACATTGCATACACCTTTTCTATTCAATTAGCAAAAAACACACCAAACCAATTCTCTGGACGCACAAATTAAGAAAACGGAAAAATAAAGATGTTAAATTTAAACAAAATTAGGGGGAAAACGAAAGCATGCCGACGTACAGAATGCATAAAAACGAAAACTTGATTACAAAAATCTAAAGAAAACGTTTCTATCAGTATTTTCTCGGGAAACAAACAGAGAACAGATTATGACAAAGCAGTCTCAAACCAAAACTTGAAAACATAAATGGAGAAGAACACAAAAAGGGTAATTGAAAATTACTGTTCTTGCTTTGTTTCTGAGATCCCTCTTTAGCTGTTGATTTTTGTGTAGCTCCTTCCTTTCCACCTTTTCAATGGTTGGTGGGAATCTCTGTTTTGTTTGTCTTTGTATTTTATATTTTTTTTTGGTATGGGATGTTAGGTGCCTGTGAGTTTAGCCCAATGTTTATGCGTGAGGACCCAACCCAACATAGGTTCACAAGATGGGTCAACCCAGTCCAGCTTTACTTGTGATTCCGATTCTCAACGGGAGAGGGCTCGTTTGATTCTGTTTTTTTTTTTTTTTTAGGTACTTCTGTTTTGAGTGTTTTTGTTAGAAGTATTTTCATTAGACACACGTCGAAAATTTTATTAGAAGACAAAGTATTTCATGAAAAATCACTTGATTATATGAACCAAACCGTACAATTAAGGGAAAGGGGTGGTGGTACCCGCACATTTTTTAACATTTCATACACTCCTTGTTAATTTCTGTTTTTTTTATCTTCTTTAATTCATTCGATCCGACGGCAAGAAATTGAGAAGAGTGTGTAGAAAGTAAAAAAATGTATGTATATAGCATCACCCAAAAGAAAATAGATATTTTGAATGAACAAACTACAATTAAGTCACATCCTAATCTACCATGAGTTATATGAGCATGATCTTGGTCTAATACACGACTTCAAGTAGTGCAACAATTAGGTGCACTAATAAATGCTCTTAATCATTTAAGCGACAAACCTTATACTCAACATCGAATAATCTTTAGTTAATGACTAAAATTAGCAAATCCCATCTGGTTGGTTGAAGTGGAAACTTGATGTTGCAAAGTGCAAAGTAGAATTCTATCAATGTCATATAGTTGATTGATCAAGTAATGTGGCTAATTGTTTGCCTAATTCTGAAAATAAATAAATAAAAAGGAAAATTAATGAAAAAAACTTGAAAACTTTGAGTTTTAATAAAAATGACAAAAATGTGTTGTAAATGAATAGTACGAGGAGTGATTTTTTTAGAGTAAAAATGTTATTTTTGTTAAAAATGAACAGTAACGGAAATGTTTTATTAAAACTAAAAAGCCTACGTAACCAGCCCACCCTTTGTCCTTTTCCTTTATCCACAAAATACAACCCATATAAGGCATGCAATGCACAAGTCCAAATTAATGGAGTAGAAGGAAGCTGCTAGGCAAACATGACCTGTTATAACCAATTATTCTCCAAATCCCTTTCTTGCATGGTGAATCATGCCATTTTCATATGTATTTGGTGAGAAAAACTCGCACAGTGGATAGAGAAGACGATCGTACACTTTCATAAAAAATTGATTTCCATTAAGTTTGATTATTATCCGACCTCACGTAAAAACAACTCTCAATACACACACCATTGCATATTTTGTGACCGAATTAAGTTATCCTACTAAATAGTCTCTCTTATTCGAATAAGGTTGATGTGAAATTTAACCTTATTCCCTCTCTCTCTCTCTCTCTCTCATATCACAACCTTTTCACTAGTCTTACCTGCTCTTTCTCTCTCTCACTTCCTTTTCGCTCCTAACCTTTCTACCCCTAACAAAACCTCTCTCTCTCTCTCACTTGCTCAACTTTCTCACTCAACAACCACCAAAGTTCCAAGAAACCAAAAACTAGAACACAAAACCAGTTAAACAAGAATTCTTAGCTGATTAGCTTGTACAAACCAAACAAAACAAAATAAATGAGGCCACTCTCTTCTCCTTCCATCCCAAAAAACTTACACCTTTCAAACAAGTTATAAGCACTCCACCCATCGATCTTCATTTCCTTCCAGAAAAAAAAAAACTAAAACTCTCCCACCTCACACAGCAGTCCACATCTCTTTCTTCTCATCAAAACTTTGATCACCTTTAGCTATTTCGGGCTATAACCTCTCTTTCGGTGTCCATATGTTCGCAGTTCGCTAATGCTCCTTCTTATATTTCTTGTATCCTCGAGAATGATATCGCTAGAAGGGATCGTAATAGGGTGGTGATTTGCTAGTTTCTTTTGGTTTTCTCGTGCTTCGACCTGCTTCTACACCGGAAAAAAGAAATACTCACCAATGGAGGAGCATGTAGAGCTTCAAACTGCTCACCAACCCAATGTTTCAATTATGTCACCATCTTCATCTTCTTGCAGTGCTGGTATTTTCCCTGTGTCTTTCGCTTCGGTTTGGACTGAACCGCATGATAAAACTGGAGTTGTGAACCGGCAGCAACATTATATGGCAGAAAATGGGGAGGCACCGTCCACAGCCGGGTCAGCCAATGAGATTGAATGGCTTAGATTTATTCACATCACGGCCAACGGTGGGATGAAGTGGAAGGATGTAGGGGAGCAGTTCGACCGGCTTGCATTGACCAGACACGGCGTTGAACCGGCTATAAAATCGTCGGATTTTGGTCTGTGCATAGGTGAGCAAGCCTACAAAATAATTATCTTACCCTTGCTACATGTGTTAACGTTTAAAATAGTATGAATGGCTTTTGTCCGCTCTAGTTTTTCCGTTTTGGATTATGTCTTTTGTAGTTCTATTGAGATTCATGTTTTGTATACGTCTTTAACATAGTATTTAACGTTTTTTTTAATGAATATTGTTGATTTGATAAAAATAAAAAAGATTTTGCGTTTTACCAATAACCTTTTTTTATGTATATTTTAACGTTTGGCTTGATTCTAATTATTCTTTGCAGAACGTGTTTGTGTTGTTATATCTTGTTTTGCGCACAAAAATGTGATTGCTTTGTTTTTTCCTCTGATTGCTTTGTGTCTTTTGGCCTTAGTTTTATTCGTTTGGTGGGTGGCTGTGTTGGCCTCTTCTGTGTTTAATTAACGCATCAACTGTCACATTATGTGATCAGTAAATATATCGAGTAAGTTGTTACGTATTTCTTGAACAATAGCTCCTTCTTTGATATGTTCTTTGGTTCATGTTTCTTAGGGATGCACCAGTCGCCGGAGTTTGCTAATGAGCTATTAAGGGCTCTAAGAAGAAGAATGGATCGAAATTTCGATATGACAAAATGCGAACTGTATGGTTACTGGTGTCGTATGACTGACCCTTGCTTCGATTCAAGGATACGAATATACTTTGACTTGTAATAATCCTCATTAAAATTTGATCACATGCTTAATTATCTTCGTATTGTGATGCTTAGAGAGCAAGAAATTAAAACCTTTTCTTATGTACTTAACTTTTTTCTCTAAGGAAGTTGTGATTCGTTTCAGGTGTGACAGAAACATGGATGGAAGAGTGACTGAGAAAGACATTAAGCAGGTATTTTTGTGTCACACTGTCATGAAAAGCACTTTTCTAGCCTCGCTGCACGCACACGAGAGGCTTTTTTCTATCACGCGGGGCTATGCGTGACTTACAGATGTATCGTTAATTGGTTTCGTGTTCATGTTTACCGGTTTCCATTTGGGCACTTTTGCAGACCATAACACTAAGTGCTTCTACGAATAAGTTGTCTTTAACTCATGAGGAAGCAGAAGACTATGCTGCATTAGTCATGAAATTGCTTGACACCGAAAACCGGAGTTACATTGAGGTACATACCTTCAATCGTGGAAATCGATTCTCCTTGAAAATTAAATTGTGTTCAAGAACATTTTGTTGCCTTTCTAATGTTTGCCAATGACTTGCAGTTCCCTCAGCTAAGGACTCTCTTCAATGTGATGAGCTTATCAAAAAGCTCATTTTCAACTAATCACTTTTCAATCAGACTTAGTCGTCTACATCGCAGTTTTGATCCAATTGAAGAGCCAAGGTCCAAAACTGAAATTTTATTTCGATCATACTGGCGGCGTGCATGGATAGTTTTGCTTTGGTTGATCATTTGCAGTGCGCTTTTCGCTTGGAAATTCACCCAGTATCGCCATAGAGCAGCTTTTCAAGTAATGGGTTACTGCTTATCCACTGCTAAAGGTGCTGCAGAAACCCTGAAGTTCAACATGGCTCTGATTCTCCTTCCTGTTTGCCGTAATACAATCACGTGGCTTCGCAAGAACCGGTCTATAAACTCCATCATTCCGTTTAACGACAACATAAACTTCCACAAAGTAAGTTGGATCCTAGCTTGGTTCTAGTAGCTTAACCCTTTCAACACCAAAGTAATTGTTATACACTCGTTTTTTTGACAAGACGATCTCTTAAACCACTCTCATTTACGTAGAAGGCGATTTGGACTAGCCTTACCAATGTCTGCAAATGTTTCACATTATTAACATGTGTACATTTTTGTGTTGATCATATATAGATGATTGCAGGAGGGATAGTAGTAGGAGTAATCCTACATGGAGGTTCTCACCTTGCTTGTGATTTTCCAAGAATCAGCGACTCGGATCGTATGGTCTTCCGGCAAACAATAGCTGCCCGATTCGGGTACCATCAGCCATCATACTGTGAAATATTGGCTACAAAGGAGGTGGCAACAGGGATTGCAATGGTAGTACTAATGGCCATCGCATTTTCTCTTGCAACAAAATGGCCACGCCGCCAGTCGCCTTCGCTGCCAAAGTCTGTCCGGAATGTCACAGGCTACAACGCCTTCTGGTACTCGCACCACCTGTTCATTCCTGTGTACGCATTGCTCATTCTCCACTCCATGTTCCTCTTCCTAACCAACAAAGCAACCGAAAAAACGGTAAGCCTTTAAGTTCATGTGGTAAATTCTACTTAAACGGATAATGTGTTTGAAATTTTTAGAAAGTTTGTATGTTATGAACTTGGTTAAGCAGACATGGATGTACATTGCCATTCCAGTTGTATTGTACGCTGGAGAACGAGTTTTCCGAGCCATAAGATCGGGGTTTTTTGAGGTGGAGATTTTGAAGGTATCTCAAGGAAGTACTTATAAGTTCATCCGTTCACAATCATCGAAATTTACTTCTTTTTAATCACAATTTGATTAGAATTTGCTTCTCTTCGTGTGACCGAATTGTGCAGGCAAGTATTTATCCAGGAAAAGTTTTGTCCCTCAAATTGCATAAACCAGAAGGTTTTAGGTACCTGAGTGGCATGTACATATTCATCCAATGCCCTCAAATTTCACCGTTTGAATGGTAAGTCTGCATTTGACAAACTCGCTACAAAGAAGCAATCAAAAGGCTTTCTGAAACAATCCCTAGCATGTATGTTGAACTCTGTTTCCCTCTTCCTTGTTCATTGACTCAGGCACCCTTTTTCCTTGACTTCGGGGCCGGAAGATGACTACCTAAGAGTTCATATTCGAACTGCTGGAGACTGGAGTTATCAGATATACAGTCTTTTCCAAGAGGTAAAAACTGGATGGAAAATGGAAGGACTCAACCCGAAATCTCAATTCGGTATTGTGAACATGGTTGGACATTTCAAACATTTTCCTTTTGAAATTTTTACAGGCAACATTATCTGGAGTTGATGGCTATCCGAAGGTACACATCGATGGACCTTATGGTGCTGCCTCTCAAGACCATGTTAAGTACGACATCGTTGTTCTCATCGGTCTAGGCATAGGCGCTACGCCTTTCGTTAGCATCCTTAAAGACGTTGTCAATGCTGCTAAAAAACCACATTGTGATCATGTAAGACTTTCAGGATTTGGTTTGCGTTTGTATTAAGTTGGGAACAATATGGTGTTGATTAGTAGTGAGCCGCTAAACCATCTCTAATATCTTAACAACGAGTAGTTTTTTTGAAAATAGAGTGGTTGCAGAAAATGCGGCTCAAGAAAGGCTCCATTGAAAGCCTATCTTTATTGGGTTACAAGAGAACAAGGCTCCTTTGATTGGTTTAGAGACATCATGAACGAAGTCTCAATCTCAAACCAAAAGCAGGTACAATCCAGACTCCCGTTGATAGTCATTTCGTTTTCAGTTTGGAAAATAACGCACACTTTAAGTCTTACCGTTCTTTAGAAAATGTTGTTCTATGCATTCTAACTGCTTTTGGTGACCCTTCAGTCCGTTGTGGAGATGCACAATTTCTTAACATGTGTGTATCCGGAGGGGGATGCGCGATCGGTTCTAATAAGCACTATACAAGCGTTGCATCACGCGAAAAATGGTACCGATTTTCTCTCCCGGACTCCGGTAAGTACTGCACTACAATCCCTAATCTCATTGCTTTCCCCTGCATAATTAGTTAAAGAAGCAATCTGCAGGCTTAAACGTTTGTCTTGAACCCTTTCTTTCTAATTTCTATCCTCTTCTCTTCTGGTGGTAAGAGTTTCCAAACCAGTAGTCTTTGTTTCATCGAATTCCTTTCAATATTTTCTGATACGTAGCGCGAGAGGGGAGTCTCGACAGAGGAGATGGATGGAGGAAGAAGAAGCGAGAGGGGAGTCTCGACTGAGGAGATGGATGGAGGAAGAAGAAGAAGAAGCACCTCGCTTTCCCTCCTCTTTCTTCTCTAGTCGTTTCATACACTCCTCTTTCTTCCCCAGTCGTTTCATGCACAAAAACAAAAGTTGGTAAAATGTATTCCGATGTCAAAAACATATAATATCTTTCTATGGATGTCTCAGGTACGCACACATTTCGGTCGACCGGACTGGTTCAACATCTTCTCAAAATTAGCAAGGAGACACAAAGAAGAACGGATTGGTGAGAATGCATGTAAATTCTCAGCATAAAAGATTTAAATATTGAATTCCAAACCAATACTACTAAAAACATTGAAAATTTGGTGTTTCTTGGGACAGGGGTTTTCTATTGCGGCCCATCATCTGTCGCGAAAGAGCTGGAGAGGATGTGTACCAAATTTTCCACCAAATCCTCCACAAGATTTGTATTCCACAAGGAAAATTATTAGAATTCACACCCATTTTTTTTTACAATTTTTAACCAAAAGGTACAGACGTTTTGTCGAAATGTCGATTGATCATTTTTGTACCAAATCCACCAATTGGATGGTCCGGAAGAACATAATCGGCTTACAAAGTTTAAAATCGCGAACAAAATCTCATTTGGGAAACATTATACGCATGGCTTCGATCGAGGAGAGAATGCAAACATGAATACAAGTTCATGAAATCGAGCATGACAACTCGACCGAAGCTATTGCAGAAACACATTATTGCAAAAGAGATCCCAAAAACAATATCAGAGAAGAGAACGCATGAACCTTCCTTCGAAGAAAATTGTGTTTCATGGTTCCTTCAAAAACACAATTTTATTTCGCCACCGTCAGATGAACTTAACCCTCCAGTGCTGATGCTCCTGATATAATCTCAATCAATTCGGTAGTAATAGATGCTTGACGAGTTCTGGAACAAGTAACCATACAACCAAGAAAGATCAGTCGTTTATAGTGGAACGCGATATTAAAGTCAACAAATAAAAAATAATGTCTACAGTAACGGATTAGCTAGGACTTCAAAGAAATTGGGGGTGGAGAATGAGGGGGACCTGTTATAAGTGAGTGTGAGGCGATCAAGCATCTCTCCGGCATTTCTGCTTGAGCTGTCCATGGCAGACATCCTTGCTCCTTGCTCACTGCAAGCATTCTCCAACACCGCATTGAACATGACCTGCCAAAAAGTAGTAAAACATAAACATTTATTGAGACGAGCTCAAAAGTGTTAATCTTAGGACAATACCCCAATGAATGCAATTTGAGGTTACGTGCCCAACCAGGTCAGTGGTTTGACCAACAAATACGAAAATATGAGGCCTCTAACCTCAACAAAAGAACTTACACATGAAAATTGGAACTCTGCCAAATTCTGAAGTATCTCCGACTTTGTCTCACCACCTTCAATCTCATAGGAATCTAAGTCGCCAAGCTTTCCACCAGCTTCAGATTCTCTCTCCACAATCTGTATGAACATCGTATCAAATGCCCAGTACAACAGAACATGAATATGAATGAAAAAGAGGTAATAATTGAACTGAATCATTCTTATTACCTCGGGAGATAATACTGTTGACACAGTTGGCAGAAATGAGACGACTGACTGAAACTTGTTGAAGACGATTCTCAAAGCATCAAACTCAACATTTTTCAAAATGTCATCAGCTATGACAGATACCTGAGAGGACAAAAGGCACACGCAAATGACGGTAAGAACTTTTACATTTGATAACTAATAAAATGTATAACTGCCACATTAATAACTCTGTTCGTATAAAGCTGACAAGATAACTCATCGAAAAGAATTTAACAGGCACCAACAAGTATAAAGAACCGCATGCTCTCATCTCCATCTCATCTCCAAGAGGCTCTTTAAACCTCTTGGAAAGCTAGTTTAGAGAGCCAAACTAAGGAATTTCATCTCCAAGAGACTCTTTAAAGGGCTTTTTAACTTAATTCATGACTCTTTAAACACCTCTTGGAAAGCTAGTCTAGAGAGCAAACTGGTTCCCCTATGACTCTAAATGTCATGTAGGAAACGCAATTAAACATTGAAAATATGAAAGACAAAATAAAACCAATATGTGGCTAATGTCCCACAAAGGTTGGACAAGTGTGTTCATGGTTCTTTAAGCAAACACCACCGCATGGGCTCATACCCACAACACAAACATTACTTTCTTTACTCAAACATACTAACCTGGGTGTAGTTCAAAGGATTCTTCTGCAACTCAGTTATGCATAGCTCAATGTCCTTCTTAGAGTCACGAATCAACTGAGCCTTTGCTTTTTCCCCCAAAATGACATATTTTGTCTCTTTTTCAGGACCTACAACAGTTTCAATGAAAAGAAATATATTAATGTGTGTAAAATATAAACTTAACAGACATCAGACTAACAATAAGCTTCCAAGAAATACCAGCGTTCAACTTGTGCAAGGCCTTGCTTATCTTGACTGAGGTAGAGTTAATTCCACCACATAAACCTTTGTCTGAAGAGATGGTAACAATAACATCCTTCTTAACGCTGACGCCTAGCATGAAAAAATAATAATTACACAACGACAATGAGGGAACTTCCGAAGATATCAATGTGCACAATTAGAAAGCAATGAAAATGGGGCGGGTTGGGGGCCAAAGAGTAAAATACACCTCCGTAAAGCGTGGACTTGGCAAGAGGAACAGTCCATTAAGTAGTCTACAATAAAGAAAAACTGCGGAAAAATTGTTTGCAACAAAGATGCCACGTCTTTAACAAGAACAAGCAAAATGTAAAGAAACCAAATAACTTATATAAATTGGCCTATGGAGATTATGCTGTTAGACATACTGGGAGTGTCGCCAAGAAGTGCTGTGAAAGGCTGCCACAGGCCACGAGAATTTTCAGCTTTAACTTGAATTGCTCGGAGCTTTGAGGCTGCAACCATCTTCATAGCCTTTGTGATTTTCTGGATATTCTTCACACTCTTCATCCGGTTTCTAACTGAATTCACCAAGTATTACAAATGAACCACGTCACCATTTGCATAGCAGGGAAAACAGAAATAAAAGAGGATATTCATGATGATTGTTCTTACCAATTTGAGTTGAAATTGAGCGCACTCCCAAAGGTACCTGCTCCCTGTGTAACCAAACCAAGTAATTTAGTTCTTGAAAGGCATAAGCAACGGAAAACGATAGCAAGACATACAAAAACATGGAAATGAATCAAGCTTAGCATAACGAGAAATCCAGAATTATAGTTGCCTTTCAGAGACGCACCAAACACATCCTCTCCTGCATTTCTTTTGTTAATCTAAACGACATCGCTCAGGGCTATCCAAACAAATTAAAACCAAGCAACATCAATAATTTATGCTCGCTAAATTCTAATGGCCGTCTTGTGTGAATTAGTACTTTCAGCCTTCCATACAATCCTAACATCTGCATTAGTATCCGTTTAACAAAATTCAATTATCCATTTGTTATTCGCCGAAAAAATTCAGGAATGTTCAAGGTTCTCACTTTCCACAAACAAATTGAATCACTCCCAAATTTAAGCTGAGTTTTCATTTCTTCACATACATATTTAACAAAATCCATCCTCAATTAGATTTTCTTTTATCTACTACTCAATTTTTCTCGGCATCCAAACAGACGGCAATGAACAAGTATAATGCAAGCAAAATGATAAGAATTAAAAATAAAAAATAAAACGGCGGATTTGGATAGAGAATGTACTCGGCTGGGATGATGGAGGATCGGACGGCGGCCATCGGATGGGGAGAGATCAAAGGGGCGAAACGCCTCCCTTCTCGTCTGAGAGCAGCCATCGCCATGTATTTGGGGATTGGTGGTGATCGGAGATTGGAAACCCTAGAAACTGGTTGTTCGGATCCAATGCCAAATGGAGCTGCGAGCTCTCTCAGGTGGGCGTTTTCACTTTCTCTCGCTTCGTTGATAGCAGGAGGCAATGTGCGCGCGAGGTTGAGGTATCAAACGACGTCGTATTTTGCGTATTGCTGAGTGTAGTGTAGACACCCAATTAAGAAAGGAAAAAACTCACGGTTTGGCCCACCAATAGGCCCGGCCTGTCAAATCTAAAAACTCAATGTCCGATTTCGGGAAGACTCAGAGAGGAAATTCAGCCTCCTTCTGACCACAAGTTTAGCTTCCACACAATCAGCGGGTTTCAAACCTAAGACCTCTAGTTTTTAGTTTGAAGGAAGTCTCGCAATCCGTCTTTTACTACTGAATCACTAGCTCGTGGTTGTGCAACATAATTTAAATTTTTATTGCTTTCGTATTGTTATTTAAGGCAGCCTTCTTGCTTTCTTTCATTTGAGTTCAAATTTCTCTTCTCATAGGCTATCGTAATATCAAATATTGCTTGTAAGAAAACTGTCTAATAAAAACTTAAGTAGCAACAATTATATCTTTTTTGTATAGGAAACATTTTTAAGTGTTTTTTTTTTTAAGATTCACTTGTATTTTTACTAAAGATTTGTCTCAAAACATTTCCATAAAGAAAAGTTTTCAGCCATTTTAAACACATTTTCAAAAACCGAGAAAACCGTATCAGCACTGATCCCTTTATAACTTTTACAAAAAAGGGATTAAAAAACAATAATTTAATAAACGACATTGAGACGAGAGAATATAACTTACAACATGCAAACAATCGAAATCATCTCCATCAAAGTGGATAGGAATGGAAAGAGAAATCATGGAATCTTCACCCTACAATTGGGCAGAAGTAATATGTAAAAATTAGAAAATTCATGAGACTTACCTACACTGTCATGATGTCACTGTGACGTCATGACAATTGATAATACGATATGATATGTAAGGTTTAAATGAGAATTCTTAAAAAACAGTGTTGTAAGCCAATCATACGTTACTACATAAGAAATTGAAATACGTGGACGTTTTATGAATCCGGAATTTAATATGAGAGGGTTTTGAGAAGAATTTTTCAATGTGCACGATTCAGTATATCAAGTATCATAAGTTCTAAAAAACACTAGGCGCTAGTCGAGCGGCGGGCTGGGGCCTAGCACCTAGGCGGCTAGGCAGGGCCTAAACAGGTGAACTAAGCGGATTTAAGTAAAACTATTATATTTCATGTAAATAAGTGTATGCATATACTTTAAATATATATAATTTCATCATAAACTACAAAATAGAATAATATATATATATTATCATGTGTTGGAATATAATGAAAACATGGGGAACAAAGATATAATATGTGTTCGTTTAAGTATACAACAAGTTTTTTACAATTGATTGAAAAAAATAAAATACAAAATGAAAGTTATCTATTTTATGTTTAAGTGAGTCGCGACCTAGGCAGGTTTGGGCAAACTAGACGGGGTGTCTAGACGATCTAGGCGTCATTTCTTAATTTTCAAACGCCTAGATATTAATCAGAACACTAGCCAATCGCATAACGCCTAAATGAAATTTTTTAAAACAGTGATCATAATACATGTATATTTTTCTTTTAAAGCATTTTCATTATAATACATAGTGTATCGGTTTGTGTTTCACAAAAAATATCTTGGTTTTTAGGACTCAGTCAATGGTATCATTGGTCCAGACGCCAGTGGGATGGCATGAGTCAGTGCGTGCGAAAATTGGAACCGTTAAAAGCTAAAACCCGCCCAATACCCACAAACCGTTCACCGAAAAAGAAGACCCTTAAACCCTAACCAGTCAGATCAGAGAGAGCTCAGAGCTATTTCCATGGCGACACAGAGCTCGAATTCGAGCGAACGGCATGCCCTATCGGATACGAATCACAAACACTTCTTCGGTAAGCATTGCTTTTCGCTATTTTCCGCTTCGATCATTTGGATTAAACGGATTTCATGGCTTCTGATGCAGCTAAAATCATAGTTTTAATTTTCTTGATTTAAATATTGAAATAGAATAATTCAACCAGCGGCAGAAATCAAAGGAAATATCTATTTATTTATGAAAAATTATTATTGGGGAAGAAAATAAATCAGGATTTGATTTAAGGGAATTTTAACAAAAAACTGTCGTACAGTTCATTTTAACGAAAAACCACATTTTTACGTTAAAAAGTCAATCCTTGTACTATTCACTTTCCCTTTTATTCTGTCCTTATCGTTAAAACTCAAAGTTTTCAAGCAATTTTCATTAGTTTTCCTTTGATTTAATTGTCTTTTTAATATGTGTGTGTAGTTATGAAGGAGTTTCTGTGGGGAGCTATTGCTGGAGCATTTGGGGAAGGAATGATGCATCCGGTCGACACCGTAAAAACACGCATTCAGAGCCAGGCTATTCTCTCTGCAAGTCAGGTATGATCATAGAGTAAAGATGTTATAGATGTAAATTCATGCCCTATTGTATTGTGTAAAGCTCAATTATTTGACATAGACTCCTGAGAATGGCTTTAAATTTATAAACTTTATGTAAGAAAATGAACTTTCACGTTTTGGGTCTGGCATTTTATTTTCGTGCTAAAATGTTCCATAGCTTATCTGGAAAATGCAATAGTTATTGATTTATGTCGTGTTTGCAGAAACCGAAGAGCATACTTCAGATGGTACGAGCAGTCTGGGTAGCCGATGGATTAAGAGGTACATCTTGGTCCTTTTCTGAAGCAGTTTTTTAGTTTTCACAATTGACAACTTAGTCCTATTTGTTTGCATGTAACATGTTTACACTGCCTTTTCCCACATGTATAAATTGATTAGATATATTTTGTTTATCATAAAATATAAGCAACCAGGCGTTTATTCATAAGTTTTGGACTCCAAAGTCTGAACCTAGGGATTCGTTTTTCTCTTTGTGGTGGTTTAGTGCTGGTGCAGTCTCTGAGTACATGTTTACTTCTTCTCAGAATCATTGATTCTTAAGTTTGTAACTAATAAGTTATGTAGGCTTTTATAGGGGCATAGCTCCGGGTGTCACTGGTTCTCTTGCAACTGGAGCAACTTATTTTGGTGTCATAGAGTCGACCAAAAAGTGGATTGAAGAATCACATCCAAACCTTGAGGGACATTGGGCACATTTCATTGCTGGAGCTGTTGGTAAGTGGTTCTGCAGCTCTCAAAACTTTAATCTGATTTATGCTGATTTCATGTGAGTTTCTTGCAAAGCATTTGCTGTTAATATGCTGAATTAAATGTTAACAGTATTCATTAATTGTCTTCAGAACTTCAGATTATGTGTAACATTATGACATTTGTGTTTATTAATTGAGGAATTTGATTATATTTTGTTGCAAAGATGCTCTTAAGTTTTATGGAATGTTGATTTTTAATTGATGGAATCTGATTGAAAGGCTTATGAGTGCCATTCGGATTTATGATCTGCTAAGTAGTCTTTGATCATTCATTTTGCTTAAGTTGGTCAGCTAGTCTTATATGCTTGACCTTTATATCCTGAATTTACAAAATCTTTTGACTTACTCTGACCATGCAGTGTTTGTGTTCTCATACAGAATTTTGTATAGTGAGTACTGGAATGCACTATAACTTGGTATCTGAATGCTCTTTTCTTATCTGGACGTGAATGTTTTTGCTGGTGCAGTATACTCAATGACATCCGGTTGGCTTTCAGCAGCTAATTGTTGTTGTTGTTAGGCTGTTATGTATGGAGGCCCATTTAGGATTTCAGTTGTAGTATTCAAAACTTGAATTATTGTGGACTCTTAAGCCATCATGTGCCTCAGGGGACTCAAAATGCATGTATTCCTTCTTTCTGTATTTCAGGAGATACACTTGGTTCTGTTGTATATGTTCCATGTGAAGTGATGAAGCAACGCATGCAGGTTCAAGGCACGGTGGCCTCTTGGAGTTCTGTTGTCATGAAAGATAATATCGCTATGAAGCCTGGTAGCCAAATGTATGGTTACTATACTGGGATGTTCCATGCTGGCTGCTCAATATGGAAGGAGCAGGGGCTAAGAGGATTATATGCAGGGTATATCTCTAAACTAATCTTTCATGGTGTGATATTCTTGTGGTGTTCCCCGCTCCGCCTTCCCTCTTTTCTCGTCCATCCTGTCATCATCCTTGTACCAATTTTTCATTAATAAACATGTGTTTCTTATAACAAAACAAATAACAGACTAGCTTAGTTTGAGTTTGTACTAAATGCATCCAGTTTCATCATGAGTCCAATAGTAATGTTAGCTATTGCCTACTTACAGCCATCCATGAATGCAACCGAAACACAACCCAGATAGGCCACACCCTGGCATGCATATGCTCATACGAATTATGGCCATAATGTTCTTGTCTAATTGTGGATTTATTTTTTCTTTCATTTGGCAGATACTGGTCCACACTGGCAAGGGATGTGCCTTTTGCTGGTCTAATGGTAGGTTGGGCGGAGATTGCTTGTATATCTTAAATTTTAGCTGTTGCTTCTTAATATTGGGAAAACGGGGTTGCAACTCCTAATAACAAAATTTATTCAAGTAGGGTTCACTACTCTTAACATGCATTTCCCCACCTTAGTTTTTTTTTTTTTTTGTCTAAAAATTTCAGACATTATATTTCGATCACTGGTGTATCATAAATTTGATTTCATGTGTGCTATGCAGGTTATGTTTTACGAAGGCTTGAAAGATTTGACAGAGTATGGGAAGCAAAAATACATACGGGATCCAAATTTCCATTTTAATAGTTCCGTCGAGGGGCTTGTACTAGGAGGGTTGGCTGGTGGTACGTACCTTGCTTGTTGTTCATTACTCTATAGTCGAGTTCATTAATTAGTTTTTTTCTGTAGGGTAATTTATCTTGCATTGAATTTTTTAGGCATGAGTGCGTATCTTACCACTCCCTTGGATGTGATCAAAACAAGACTGCAAGTACAAGGATCAACCTTGAGGTATCGGTTCTGTTTGTGGTTACTTTTATTGGTATTATTTTGAAATTACCTTCCAAATCCGACCTGGTATATGTGTGATATTTCCACACAATATTCATGTTCGAAATTTGTATATGGTTCCGTATATTACTTGTTGCATGGAAGTTAGACGGAGATAGTAAAGGGGTTGTCCAGTTCCATCTAATATTGTATTGAACCTTAGGTACAAAGGCTGGTTGGATGCAATTCACAGCGTATGGAGGGCCGAAGGTGCAAAAGGGATGTTCAGAGGTAGTGTCCCCAGGATTACATGGTATGTTCCAGCTTCAGCACTTACGTTTATGGCCGTGGAATTTCTCAGAGAACATTTCAACGAAGGATTGAGCAAAGATAACACCCGAGAAGTTGCTAGCGTGTCGGTGGAGAAAAAGGGATCACCTTTGCAAGGAGCCGCTTGAGAACTGGAAACATATGCACAAATTCTTTTGCCGATACTTTCATTGTGCTTTCGTGCAATACGTGTACATACACACATATAAATTGCATTTTTTTCCAAGGAAAAACAAGAGAATTGGTAGTGCACAGCTTATACCGTTGGTTTTACGCCCTCCCCTCCCGATTTGCCCGTATTCTGGTTTGGTCATCGGCCTTGAAGCCGATGTAGGGTTTTGTTCTGTCAGACCATTCCAAAACGTCGGGCAAGCGCCCTCATCGTGCGGATTCTCTCCTTGGGTCGTGGTGGTTGGGTAAACAATTTCTCCCTGCTGGCAATGGAGCGGCGGCATCTCTTCTTCTATCACCGTCACCGCCACTGCCACCAGCAATCATCGGGCAGAGACTCTTGAGTTTCTTTCTACTTAAGTGCTGCTACTGTTCTGGCTGCTAAATGGAACCCGAACAAACAAATGTCCATTCGTACAAGGTGGTCGCGGCTAATGTCCGGCGTCGATCCTTTTTTTACGGCAAGGTGGCATTTTGTTAAGAGAATACCGCATAAATAACATGGCAGGAATGACCTGTGTGTGATTCCCACTTCCAATCTTCATCTCTTGGTCATCTTCCTCAAGTTTGATTTCCAGAGAAACTTATTTCCATACACACATTTGGCATGTCACGGAGGTAAAGGCATTTCCGAACAAATTGCATTTTCTCACAGGACAATGCGTGATTGAATTTAAAACACCATCATAAGGGCATTCCAATTGCGAAAAAGTTCTCACCTCGAATATTTAAAATTATGTGATAAATAAATAAAATAGCTGGGGTTTGGTCAATTGTATCATTCAAACTCAAATACCAAATATAAAAGGAGAAGAGATCATCTCCGGATATCTTCCATCAAGACCAACAGATCAAGTGATCCGATCCTTTGAAATTTCATTTAACGGTAAAAAATTATTATAGCTTTTAAGGAATCAAAACAAGTGAGTCATTAGATGAAATTTTAAAAGTCCGGATCATTTGATCCTGTGACCTTGATAGAAGAGATCTAAAGAGAATTTATTCTCATATAAAAGGACCTTTGAACACATCAATATCCTGAAAATTCAAGGGCATCTTTCTTGCAACATTATTAATTAAACAGTTGCTTTCTATCATCTTTCTTTGGTTTTGGGTGGAAAGTGAAGCAGTTTCGAGTGTCATGTGTTGTGGCAAGGGCTCCATCCATGTGGGATTGCTTGCTGTCAAACCAATTAGGATTGGAGTGAAAGAGTCTACCTTTTCTGTCATTTTCACATAATCTAACCTAATTTTATGTTGTTCACCGCTCTCAAGTAATGGTAATATTAACCACCTTATTTGTCAATCGTTAGACAAATTTAAATTTTAAGATTTGTGTAATGGATAGACATAAATCTTAAAATTTAAATTCATCTAATGATGATAAATAGGGTAATGACCACTCAAGAGAGATGAACAAAATTACACTAAAAAAAAACTTGCATGTCCCCAACAAAAGACTAGTTTGACAACCTTTGTCAAATGTGACATATTTCTAACTTTAGAAAGATACAGAGGTCAACAAAGTGGTTAGTTTTTGTTAGGTATTATTTATATTTAATTTTAAATTTCAAATGATTTCTGACCGTAAGATGTACGATGAACAGACATGATTACAGGATCCCTCGAATCCCCAGAAAAAGAATCCGGCGAAAATCATTTTCCCACCTTTTTTGCAACATTATTAATTAAACAGTTGCTTTCTATCATCTTTCTTTGGTTTTGGGTGGAAAGTGAAGCAGTATCGAGTGTCATGTGTTGTAGCTAGGGCTCCATCCATGTGGGATTGCTTGCTCTCAAATCAATTAGGATTGGAGTGGAAGTGTCTTTAACTTTTCTGTCCTTTTCACATAATCTAACCTAATTTTATGTTGTTCATCACTTTCAAGTGATGATTATATTAACCATCTTATTTGTCATCGTTAGACAAATTTAAATTTTAAAATCTGTGTAATGGATAGACAAAAATCTCAAAATTTAAATTCATCTAATAATAATAAATAGAGTAGTTACCGCTCAAGATAAATGAACAAAATTACACTAAAAAAAACTGGCATGTCCCCAACAAAAGAACAGTTTGACAAGCTTTGTCAAATGTGACATGTTTCTAACCTTAGAAAGATATAGAAGTCATCATAGTGGTTGGTATTTATTTTCAACAATTCCATCAAAACGCATGCTTTGTTTGGTGGTTGTTTGGAAATGACGTTAATATCCAAGGGAAGTGATAGAAAAAGTTTTACATCTTTTGCAAGAAGTATAAGAAGTATAACGTTTTCAGTCATTTTAAAAGTATTATCAAATGAACTCATAATTAGTATTGCTGGAAGCGGTATCTAGTAAACATGTGAGTCATTTGGCAAGTTAAAATAAAATTTTAATCAGTATTATTGAAGATGCTCAAAACAATTCCGATATTTTATAATTTTTAGAAAATTAGATTATTAAACCAATCGGCCCACTTTAAATTCTTTTTAGAAAAAATGAAGGGAAAAAAATCCCCTGGTTTATCAAATGAAAAGAACGTGGGATTGTTTGTGGGGTGGATCGCTCAGTAGATAACAGAGCAAACGGGTGGTTTGGTTATTCTTCCTCCGGAGATTCCAATTTATTCTTCAAAGATTTAGAAAATCCATCTTCCAAATGCTGGGTTTCTCTCAGATTAGCCTCAGGAACTCACTGCTTCGTTAAAGTAAGCTTCTTTCTCTCTCCTTTTAATTTCGTTTTCTCTCTCCACCATCGCCAAGAAGACGAAGAGTTCCCGGCTGTTTTCACCTTCTTGCCAATGGCGGTCTGTCAAATGGGTTTTCTGTGGCTATTAGAACTTGCTTTCAATTGGGTATAGCTCAGATTTTCCATATCTTGCAATTTCTGGGATATTATTGCATTTTCGGAGATATTGAGGTTTGTTCCTTGATGAGCTCTCAGTGCGTGTAGGTTGCTAACTTGCTGTTAGTATTGGGTAGAGTTTAGATTTTCTGCATTAAAAATGGTTTCTTGATTTTTGAGGAATTTGGCTCCCCAGTTGGTTGTTGCTGCAGAAGCTGAGGTTTTTTCTGTATCTGGGACTTGCCTTATGAAGCCTTTTCATTGTTTTGTTCTTCTTCAGAAGTAGTATCTTTGTTATCTTCCGAGTTTTGAATGCTGGGAATTCTGTTCTGTTGAATTGTGCAGCTGTTTTGCTTCCACAAATCTGTGGTTGTTAGCTTAAGCATGCATTTTCATAACCGATTGTGCCGAAACAATAAAGGGTTTTTGATCCTTAGGTTCAAACATTTTCCCCCTTCAAAGTTGGCAAATTCTTGGTTGTGGGTTGTTGGTATTGAGAACTGAAAGAGAGGAAAGTTTCCCCGGTGGAATCTGGTTTCTAAAGGAGAGAAGATATGGACTTGTGGGTTGTTGCAGCGGCGGCAGGCGCTGGATATTTGACTAAGTATTGGCAGAACATATCCAAGAATGGGGGTAAAGATGGCTTGTTAAATTTTCCTTTTGGGGATGCAAATCTTGACAAATCTGAATCCTCAAGGCACCCTTTACACAGACTAGGACACAGAAAGAAAGTGGGTGATGACGTTTCTAATGACAGCAAAAAGGCTTCAGATGCTTACTTGTCAGAAAGTTCTTGTGGGACAGAAGTGGCTTCTACTAGCGGGTATGATGGTGAAAAGCTGGCAGGCTTGGTGAATTACAAGGATTGCAATGTACTTTCTTTATCACATATGTCACCGGAATACTCGGGAAATGAAAATGTGAATGGGGATGGGGCTTGGATAAGTCATGATATTGATGATAGTACTGGTGCCAGGATGCCTAAATCTTCGAGTGGAGAAAGAGATTATTTTCGTGTTCCTCTGAGGAACAAAAGTTCTATTAGAACTGAGCATTCATATGGGCATGCGATTAAGCCAGTAAATTCCTTAGAGAGTTGCCTTATGGCTCAGTTATATAAAGAGCGTGCTGAAATGGAACATGTGCTTACCCTTCCATCACCATCCAGACCAAGTATGAGACCATTGTTTGTGACTGATGGAAACCGAATTATCAGCAGAGCAAGTGGTGACCATTTCAGAGCTCAGATTGGGGTCGAGGAAAATAAGCTGCATAAGGAAGCCTATTTGGAAACTAATGAAAATGCATGTGGGTTTCCTCCACCACCAAAAGTTGGTTATTTGGATCTGCCCAAGAAGACGAAAAGTAAGACAGGCAAGGGGAGGAATGGAAAATTGAGCAGTACCAGTAAATTGGTCAATGGAAAACACTTACATTCTGAAGGTAGTCCTCTTCTCCTATTGTAGGGGTAATTTATTTTTGGTGTAATTCTCAATACTATCCAGATGTTTCTCGACTAGAATTCCACTTCATAAGGGCAACCTATCTTCGTTTTAGACTTTAGAGGCTATTCGAGTATGTATTCTTGCTTAAATTTTTTCTTTTGTGTCCTGTCCTTTCCTTGGCATATTCAATTCCTTAGGAAATATGGTATTATATTGAAAGGGGAAAATGTATATTCTCTGGGGTTGTTAGGTTGCTAACCAAGGGAAAAGTCTTTTGTTTATATGTTAATGGCTCTATTAAGTTATTCAGTCCAAGAGACTAATCAAGGTACCAAATGCATATATTACTGCAACCAATTGTAGAAGCTGAAATTTATGTTCACTCAATTTCCTGGTTGCTACTTATTTGTGTGCAGTATTTCTAACTTATCTCAGTTCATGTCCTAATGCTTTTCCCTTCGTCAGGTTCACTGGATGGAGCAGTTCTTCTCTGTCTTGGGATTTCTATTGGCATAATATCTTCTTTTATAGCAAATAAAAGAGAAGTTGACAAGTTGAAAGATTTGTTGAAGCAGACCGAGAACTTGGTTCAGGATCTAGAGGAGGAACTTGAAATGAAAGATTCAGTAACAGTGAAGGAAATAGCTGATGAGAATTATGGTGCACAAGGTACTTGTGACAGTTCCGTTTTTGATAAGGCGCCAAATTCTTTTTCTACCGAACAGAATATGGACAAATATGATGATAAAAATTCATATGACCGGAAAGCAGAAGAGAGTTCAGAGTTGATTAGTAAAATAGAGGCAGAGCTTGAAGCTGAACTTGAGAGGTTGGGGCTAAACATGAACACTTATATTCCGGAGAGAAGATCCATCGATGTTGCTGAGGTCAGTGTATGTTTATCTTTGTATTCCTATGTTTAAGCTGCACATCTTTACGTTTTAGTTTTGCATTGAATCTTTGTTAATTGGGTTCAAGTATCTCACTGTATTACATATCCGTTTGGCCATGTAAATGATTTTCTGCACTGAAGTTTCAGTTCTAGTAATGTGTCTTTCTAGAACATGAATGCTAATCCCATAGGACCCCTGCATTACCGGTTTTCTATATTTCAAATGCGCTTTTTGGCTAATGTAGTGATCTCAGCAGATTATTTAAGTGCTAACGGAGCTGATAATTTGTGCAGCTTGACCCAAACTTAATGGCAGATTTTGCTCAAGGTGAGCTGAGAGCTGACTTGGTTGGTGGGTTATCTGTTGGTGAACCCGGGTCTAACGAAGAGGCAAGCAGCACCTCTACGGATCATCACTGTGCAAACTATGCAGTTTCTCCCAGAGAGCTTAGCTTGCGTCTGCATGAAGTTATCCAATCAAGACTGGAAGAACGTGTCCAGGAGCTTGAGGTGGCTCTACAAAACAGCCAAAGGAAGGTCCAAATCGCGGAGTTGAAGCACAAGGATTCTTGGAGAGACTTATCAGACAATCACAGACATTCCGCAATCCATCAGATTACGAATTCTGCAGAAAAATGCAAAACCACAGAAGAGCCTCTAGTCATGAACTTATCAGGAGAAGCTTTAGATGCGTACAATGAGGCTTACGAAGAGTTGATGAAGATCAGTGAATCCGAAGGGGAGGATTCACCTTGTCCGATTTTTGGAACATTCAGCGCTCAAAGCCACAGTCAAACTCAAGGTGAAGAGGTGAATGGTTCCGTGGGGAATTTTGCTTTCGGTAAAGAGGAAACCGCAGGTGGTGATTCACCTCGTCAAGCTTTTGAAACGTTCAGGATTCAAAGCTCCAGTCAAACTCAAAGTGAACTGGTGACTGGTTCCGTGGGGAATCTTGCTTTCAGTAAAGAGGAAACCGTAGGTGATGATTCACCTTGTCAAGTTTTTGAAACATTCAGGCTTCAAAGCCCCGGTCAAACTCAAAGTGATGGGTTAGATGGTTCTGTGAAACATTTTGGTTCCAGTAAAGAGGAAACCGGAGGTGATGATCTCCTTTCGTTCAAGAGCAAAGCAAGTATCTCAGATGAGGAGCACATTTCCAGGGTTCGGCGTTCAAAGAACTCATCAGTCGGTGGGGTGAATAGCGATGATTCCGACGCAGAGATGGAGAAACAGTTGATAATGCAGATTGTGGAGAAGGCCAAGAAAGGTTCTCCGGTAGTCCTGAATGCACAAAGGTGGTTCCGGTCAATTGACGAGAACAAGAGTTGAGTCAAAAGCAGGTATTAAGTTTTGCAGTGTATAGATTCATAGAAAATATGAGAATATAGAAAGAGGTTAGGTATTCATTCTATAGCTAAAGCTAATACGCCATTCGTTTGTAACGTTGTCGATGTTTACTGATTGCCGAAGCTTATCGACGCTTTCGTTATCGAATCATCAGAAACTTTGCTCCAATATTTTCAGTTTTATGCACTCTCTCTCCCATTTCTGCCTCACCTTCCTTGTTTCTGTCCCGTTTTCTCTCTTGTAAGAGTCAAGTCATACGCAAATGCAAGGGTAGTTTCTTTATTACGGTTTATTGGCTGAGGCTGTTCTCTGTTCTAAACTACTCTAATATACAGAGAGGTGGTTTCAGTCTGACGCCAGGGAGCGACAAAGAGTGTTTCAAACTTGAGTGCAAGAGGCCGACACACCAGTCTAATGTGCTTGTTGAAACCCCAAGTTCAAACTCTACGACTTTACCGTCTTTCTCATAGACGAATGGAAAATTAAAACTGAGTAGGAGCCATAGCTAGCTATCTTTTGTTTAAGAACATTTTTTAATTTTTTTGAACAAATGATACCATTTGCACTAAAGGGGAATGGGGTAAGCTTAGCCTCACAATGAGATAGCAAAAATATGGTTCAAATTCGCATTTGACGAGAATCGAACCTAAAACCTTTCCTGCAACTTGGCACAGAGGAAGATAATGAATCAACAATTATTTCCACAATTCAAGGTCCTTCATTAACAAAGCGCACACAAACGTGCATGAAGATTGTGACAGGCAAATACGACATAAAATGAAATAAAATAGTTCGGAGAGAGGGGGAAGGGAAGATTAGATGGCTGTAACATAAACAGATAACAATCTACTTGTAGCACTGCCGAAGAAGCAAACTAAGTTTGCCCCTGAAATCTAATAATTATAATCAGGCCCTCTTGGCGAAGTCACCCGCGTCATTATCGTCCCTATCATTTCCTTCCAATGGATCGTCCAGGCCAAAGCCAGGTTTGTTCTCTCCAAATGGAGCATCAGGAGTGCCAAAGCTGTTGTCACCACCAACACCGAAGTTATCACCACTACCAACACCAAAATTGTTGCTACTTCCACCGGGAGCATCGTAAGTGTTTGCACTTGGATAATTGCTAGGACTGTTATAGCTTCCTGGACTGTTGTAGCTTCCTGGACCATATCCAGGGTTTCCTCTTCCATAGCTGTCACCTCCACCGGGTCCATAGTTACTAAATCCACCACCAGGTGCATAACTATTTTGACCATCACCGTAATTATTATAGCTGGGGCGAGGCCTTTCAGTTGCATAGTTCACCCTTACTCGTCGGCCATGAAGCTCCTACAGATTTTCAGACAAAATTTTACAGTTGCAAAGGTATATGAATAACAGTTAATATTTCATAAGACTACTATACTAATGCAATTTCACGTTACAAACATGTTTTGTCTTATTTTAATGTTTCAAAATTGAATGTATTGTTTCACCTGCAAGTATCTAAATTTTAAATCCCAGACACTAATTCAGTACTCAAGACTAATCGTCAACGTATATAATATACAAACGATTTCAATAAACAACTATTAACCAAGAAAATTTAAAAAAAGAAAAAAAAAAGAAAGAACATAACAACAAATAACTACCTGCCCATCCAAGGCCTCGAGAGCACTAGCTGCCTCCTCATTAGAAGTGAAAGTAACGAATCCAAATCCTCTTGATCTACCACTTTCACGGTCCATGATGATTCTTGCTGCAAGATTTATCAGGTCAATCAGCATCAAACATTCTTTCAAACTTTACAAACAAACATGTAAGGAAACTAAAATGTGAGAATTATCATCAGAGAATGCAAATGGAATGATCGAGAAACATGATGCAACAACAGAAGTTCACAATAAAGAAAAACAAAGGGATCATAAAAGAAGTGAAGCCCACATCCACACTTCACCAAGTCTTAAGCATTTGACAGTCATCTGACCCACTTGACAATCCCTTTAAATGAAAGGCCACTGGAAGACCAAGTACTAATTACATACCGTCTACAACTTCACCATATTTTTGAAAAGCTTCCCTCAGACTCTGGTCATCTGTCTGGTACGAAACACCTGCATTACAAAAGCAGAGGGCATCTTAACACAAAATCAGGCAACATGAGAAGAGGGATATCATATTTGGAAATATTGAAGAATTCTGCAATCACCTCCGATGAAGAGCTTCGAGCTTCCCATGGATGACATGCATCTTATAGCTTGATGGATGGACAGTTTGAAAGGAGATACTTCAGACCTTATCTGCTTGTTTGCAGTCTGCCTAAGTATGCTCCCAATTTTACTTAAGAAAGCCATCGTAATCACCTAAAAGAAAGCACAAGCCAACAAGCTTCAATAAACAAATCTCTATCGTAACACAGCAATCTTTCCGTTGTTTAACACAAGTACCGAAAAGTGGCAGAACACTAAACATGTTAACACAAATGTCGTGATTAAATAATACATAACAAAAGACAGATTAATTAGATACCCACACAACGATATCGAAAATAATTTCTTCACCTACTACTACCGAAACAAAACAAACCCAATAAGAACATGACGGGATCAAGCAGTTCCGCACTTCAAAAGGGTTATAAAATCACCAAAAAAAAAAAAAAAAAAAAAAAATCTCCTTGGTTCTTAAGAAAGCGCAGGGAAATGATTCAAATGAAGTTGACTTCAAAAAACCCATTTCGAAGAATCTACAAAACCAGACGAAAAATCTAAAGCAGAACACTTTATTTCCACCCGATATTCGATAAATCGAAAAACTACACCCCAAAAATTTCCCACCGCAAAAACACATAAGTTCAGCCGTTCCGCAGCATCCATGAACACCACAAATCAAAACTTCACTTTTAAAATCCTAGAAACTACAATCACACACACAGGCAGATAATCCATACGAATCGTATACAAAACCCCACATGCAAACATCAAAAACCCCAAATCCCTTCGATAAATTAAAACAAAAACCCGAATCGAAAAGCAACGAGAAATGGAAACAAAAACCAAATCAAACGGAGATATCGAGATCATCGGAAGTATAACAACAACATACGTAAGATCGGAGCGAGGGGTCGTCGGAGATTTACCTTGTCCGATTCTCACTCCGTCACTCTGCTCTCAGGGGACCGACTAAAACCCTAAGGCTTTAGATTTCGAATAGGGTTTATGTGGAAAATGGGAGGAGTCGGAGATATGAGGGCCCTGGGAGATCTGATCCGTCGAGTTTGGGGACCAAATTAACAGCCGTTGGATTAGAGGCATGACGTAGAGGGTTTGGGGATGTTTACTGGGCGGTGCTTCCTCCACGTGGGACGTTTGTATTGGGTTGTTATATGGTTTCTGGGACGGTCGGGCAAGCTATCTTTTAAAGAACTTCAAAATATCTGTTTATATGTGGACGAAGCCCAAATTAACGAATCCGGATCCTCTTTATGAGGATGTCGGATTCGCTGCGGTCAGAAATTATTTTAAATATTTTTATTTAAAATTAAACATAAATTGTACATGATAAAAATTGACCGCACAATGTACGATAAACGAACATAATTTATGAATTTCTAGTATTTTCATCATAAGAATCCAGATAGGATCCTGTTATTTATTATTTATTATTTTTATGTCAAAGTACAATTGTAACACTCAGAGGGCCACGTAATAATTTTGACGACTTTTATATCAAATTTAAAGTGATACACGAGTTAAGTTTCAAAATAATAAAAAAAAAAATTTAAAAGATTAAGTAGGTTTTAAATGTAATTTAGCATATGAGGTAATCATATTTTTAAGTACTTTAATTTTTAACTTTGTATTGTTCAAAAAAAATAAAATAAAATAAAATAAAATAAAATAAAATAAAATGTAGCAAGCCTTCCTTATCTTTTAAAATTGACATAAAATTCTCATTCTAATATTTGCTAAGAAAATCGGAATTGGATCCTTTCCGAGGCAATGCCTCGAGATCCTCCTGACCGGACAACATGGGTCATTGAATTTTGATCCAACAGCTACAATTATTATAACTTTTAGAGGGATTATTTGTTTGTAGTCGTTGGATCAAAATCCAACCGTCTGTATTGTCCGAAGATCCCGAGGCATTGCCTCGGAGAGGATCCAATTCAAAGAAATCAACTAATCACAGGAAAATTGGTAAAATATTAATGTCATCGTTTGAAAAAAGGTCGTGCTATTCATACGTTTATGTTTATTCTCATACCTACAAAATTGATGGGCAAAAATTAACAATAGTGTATATGAAGTAAAAAAACGGTGATAGTACTTTCTTTTAAAAAATTGTTAATTCATTCAATCCGAATAACGAAAATTTAAAAAGTATATGAGAAATAAAAATAGTTGTGTGGATATCGCATTTCTTAAAAAAAAAATAGTAAAAGTCAAAGAGATGTGCGGCTAAGATTGTTTCCCCAACGCCGTCGACCAGTCCAAGCAGTTCTTTCACCGAAACACCTGCGAAACAGTTCTCAGCCTCGACCAAATCTCAAATCCGAAATCCCAAAATCCGCCCCAAGATCCGAAATTGATCCGATTGTCGAACACCCAATGGCCCAAAACCCAAGACCCACAACAGTTCTCGAATCCCTGGGCGAAGAACTGATCAGAATCATCACTCCGGTCTCCGTCTGTATGCTGCTGGTGGTCCTTCTGGTCACTGTCCTCACCGACGATGCTTCATCCTCGTCGGAGACGGTGACCTCAATCGCCACCATTGCGTACGACGAGACCGCCTCGGACTCCTCCTGGGACAAATTCGTAGGTGCCGTCCTAAATTCCCTCGTTTTTGTCGCCGTCGTCACTGTCGTCACGTTCGTTCTGGTGCTCCTTTTTTACCTCAGATGCACCAGGTTCCTCAAAATCTACATGGGTTTTTCGTCTTTTGTTGTTCTGGGTTTCATGGGCGGAGAAATCGCCCTTTTTTTGATTCAGGACTTTAATGTTCCGGTCGATTCGATTACGTTTGTTTTGGTGTTGTTCAATTTTGCTGTTGTTGGGGTTTTGGCGGTGTTCATGTCGAAAATGGCGATTTTCGTGACGCAGGGGTATTTGGTTGTGATTGGAATGCTGGTTGCTTATTGGTTTACGTTGTTGCCTGAGTGGACAACTTGGGTGCTGTTGGTTGCCATGGCATTATATGATCTTGCTGCGGTTTTGTTGCCGGTCGGACCGTTGAGGTTATTGGTGGAGCTGGCAATCTCTAGGGATGAGGAGATTCCGGCTCTTGTTTACGAGGCCAGGCCCGTCACTCCTCATGATTCTCAGGCTAATGTGGGTGAGAGGAGGGTTTGGAGAGATAGGAGAAATGAGAATTCGAGTATTGGGAATGAGAATCCGAATTCAAATTCAAATCTTGGTGAGTTTGGCAATGTTGATAATGATTCGAGTTTGGTTAGAGCCGAAGAGGGGCGGATTCCAGATGGGGATCAAGAGCTATCTGCCCCATTACTCGAGCGTGTAGCGAATGTTCAGCCTCGCAGGCAGGAAGATGTTGTGGCGAGTGAAAGTTTGCTGCTTGAGGGCATCGGATTGGGGTCCTCAGGTTCAATCAAGCTGGGATTGGGAGACTTCATCTTCTACAGTGTTTTAGTCGGGAGGGCGGCAATGTATGATTTTATGACGGTGTATGCGTGTTATCTTGCCATCATAGGTGGCCTTGGAGTTACTCTGATACTGTTAGCTGTGTATCAGAAAGCTTTGCCAGCTCTTCCCGTGTCAATAATGCTCGGCGTACTGTTTTATGTATTGACACGGCTCTTACTCGAAGTTTTTGTTGTACAATGTTCTTTGAACCTCATTATGTTCTAGAAGTGGAAGTTTTATAGCCAAAGATTGATAGGCAGCAGGGGAGCATACTGCGTGACACCGATGATTTCTTGTTGCAACTGGTATATTTCTTTTCCGTGAACTGGCTGCACGTCTGGAATCTATATTGTTTCGTAAAGTTCATTTCAAATAGGGTTAGATTGTGGTTTTGAAGATCCATTGGAGTCCAACACCTGCAAAGTTGGGAGAAGGGAGGATGCCGTATGGATCGGAGCCTCGGAGGAAGCCCGAAGGCCTACATTTGTTTGTACCAATAATATCAAATCTTCGATTGTTTGTTTCAGCTGGATTCAGTTGCATATCGAAAGGTATTGCATTCTCCACGCCCCCTGTATCGATGTTTACATTGATTTTAATCTCGAGCTTTCTTGTGTATATATGAATTTTTCATTCCAAATAGGCTTAATGCTTCGTATTAGCACATCAAATTCAATTCCACTTTGCACCCTAGCATTCTACCTAGCACATAATAAACAAAATAAACCTTACCTTAAATTGAATTTGTACTCGTATTAAAATGACCGCACACATTACTCTTTCGGGGACAAGAACATAGCCAGAACGGAGTTTGATCGTTCAGAACATCATCGGAATGACCAACATTAATATAAAGAATTTTGTGGCACGGCGAATGTTCCATGAATAGTAGGTTTTATGATTGTTTTTGTACAACTTTGAAAAACCGACTAAAAACCGTGAGTAATTTTCTCGAATTGTTTTTGTGAAGCACCTGATTGTTGGATTTTGCCAAAAACTTTCCGCATAAGCATTGTTTAGTGAATTTTTGGACTGAAAAACATAAAAATATTATAGAAAATACTAGCGGGTACTATAACATAGCCAAATCAACTTTAGGGCGACCGTCACACTCAAAATATTTCCCTATACGACGTTGTTAGAGGAGATATAGTTGTCTATTTGCCCTAACTCCGATGAGGACGAAAAGGCTTAGCCCACTCTCCTCTCCCTTAATGTAAATAATATCGCTTGTTCAAAAAAAAAAAAAAAAAATCCGATGAGGACGAAAAGGGAAAATACAGCCTTGGATTGCAAGAAATTAGTAAAGATGGGGACGCGCAATGGAAAGTTGAGAGAGAAAGAAACCCCTAAGTCTAAGCAGGGCCTTATATTTTTCATCTGGTTTCTCTCTCATCCCCTCTGTCCATTTCATTTTTCGGTTTTGTTTTTTCGTTTTTCGATTTTGTTATTTTCTCGAATTTTCAGTCTTACCCATTACTCATAGGTTGCCGTCGACGCGAAACTGAGGCGGCTGATTTTCAGGCCGGTAAGGAATCATCATCGATTTTCCGAAGGCCGGAAGGTTGGCAGTCTCTCTGAGGGCACGTTCATTGGCATTTGGTTTTGCATGTAAGCTTAGTTATTTCTAATGTGTGTTTTCTCATTTGATATTATGAGTCTTGTTATACAATCATGAATTCAAATTTCATGAACGACAATTGTTGAGATATTTATGTTAATCATGTTGAGCATACAATTGGAATTTTCAATTCGGAACACATGTATGAATTTATTCGAATCTTAGGGGGCAACGATCTTAGAATGCATTGTGATTTATGTTTCATATCGAATCAATGAATTCAAGGTTTTATGTCGGTAACAGAAAACCAAAAACTAAAAGCGAAATGGTTACTAGGAGAGCTTGCCTTTTTCGCACAATTTGAGTTGCAAATATCACGAAGAAGCTCTTCATGATCATTCATTCCATATGAAATTCAGTCCCTTAACTTTCGATTAGGTTTATTTGAGATTTTTAACGTATAACAGCGGATTGGTAACCTTATGTTTCTGTTTCGTTTTTCGATTCACAGGAATCCGATGGTTTTGGACTGCCGGAGGTAGAACCAAGACAATTTTTAGTTATGGAATCTGCAGATGATAGAACAAGGTTAAGCACTGCAGCTACAACTCCATGTGAAGTTGATAATGCGGCCAAAGGATTAGGCAGCGGATCAGGCGGATTAGGCTTGTCTGATCAGTTGAATGAGTTGAGGACAGATCCAATTACCGCTCCAGGAGAAGCTAATATTTCTACTGTAAGAGAAAGATTAAGTAACTCTCAGGTATCTGATTGTAATGAAGCCTTTGAATTGGGTGCAAATGCAACCCGTGCCGAGGATTTTGCCGCCTGCGCGGCCACAGATGCTGCGCAGAATGTGCAGCCTACTGATAGACTAGAAGGATCACATTCTCAACCAGCAGATGATGCAAACGATTCAGCAACACAATCTCCGCCTACGCAGATGATGGAGCGGCCAGGCGACCCTGCCTCCTCACCGTATAGGATTCCGGATTATGTGTTTGCTAGGAACAAATCAACAGCCCCATTGGAATGGAGCACTGAATCCAATGAGTCCTTGTTCAGCATTCAGATGGGAAATACGAGTTTTACCAGAGACCAGTTTAACTGGTTGTGTAAATCTGGTGAATTGGGTTTACCTGGTGAGGTAAATTACTTGCCTGGTGGTCCATGCAACATTGACTTCACAAGCAACCAGCCTCCGGCTAAGCAAACTGCACAATCAGCGGAGAATGCTTCCAATAAGTTAAGCACGGTGGTGGAGGAGCCGAGTCTGATGAGGGTAACTGAAGAGAAAGCTGCGGAAACCATGAGAGAAGTTCTAAGGGAAAATGCAGTGAATCATGAGAAAGAGAAGTCAACCACCGCCCGTGAGGGCGGCAAGTATCACTCGGCTCGCCTCTCTCATGCTTCGGATGGAAGTACAAGATCTTTTGCATTCCCAATGTAAGTTGCTGCCTTCCCATCTTAGTAAAATTTAAGGTTAAAACATATTTTTGATCAATGTAGTGTTCACAAAGTTACACTCGCCACTGCATTTTGAGTTGCGTCGAATCAGGTCCTTGTAGTTTGCAAACTGTTCTGACTTAAGGACATTTGTCAACTTACGTTGATTTCTTGTCCAAAATCCGTCAAATTTACTCTCCTCTGTGTCGCGTATGTGACGGATTGGGACAAGAAATTAACGGAAGTTGATGAGCGTCCTCGTGTTGGAACAAGTTGCAAACTACAGGGACCAAACGACACAGTCCACAATACCGGGACAATGTAGAACGTTGTCAAAACTACCAAGGACTGAAATCGTGTCTCAGACAATGGCGGAAATAGCCTTAAATGCGCCGTTCAAACAATCTCACCAGAACAAAACCCTACTTGCAACTACGTACTTTTGCACGTTTGCATGTTTGAGCAAACATCTGAACCTTGTTTTTGTTCCATGAAGATTGTTAGGGGACATAAATGTTTCGCTACGGGGAGAAGGAACGAAACACAAGCACCAATCGGGGTCAACGCGAACGTCGCAGCGAGAATCGCAGCCACAAACACCAAAAGAAACACCGAATGCGTCGTCTCCGGCCTCAAAACCAACCCCAATTGTACCCAAGTGCGGCTGGGGGCTGTCTTGCTTCTCTTGTTGCCCATCATGCTGTACTTAGAAGAAAAAGTTCTTTAACATTTTCTCTCCTTGGAGTTGTATGTGAGGTTAATATGTTTTTTTTTTCTTTTCAGAATTTATGTTAGATTAATTAAATTAATTATTTAGGTATTTCCAATAGGGAATGTAAATATTTGATCCATGGTAATGCAAGACGTCGCCATGTTCCATTTTTTTGTGTTCTTTTATTGCAATTATTAGGCGGAATGAGGTTGGGGAGTTTGAAACTATTACAATAATTTAGGGGACAGAGATTTTTGAACTCGAGACGCAGAGATAAAAACTCAACATTGTACTCACTAGCATATTGGAATTGGACCACATGTTCATACCATCAGTGTTTAAAATATCGATATAAGAATATGACCAATTGTTTTCGACGGAAATTTGGTTGAGTAAATCAACTAATTCAGGTTTAATCAAAATTAGAGAAAAATTTCTCAAAAAAATTCAAAAGTTTAAAATTTGCAGCGTTCCGGAAAAATATATGTAGTTAATTCGTATATATCATCGATATATTGAATTTCCTATTTGTATTTCACCCTATTTCCATGTCGACCCTTGATTTTTCGAATATTCCGACAAAAATATTGACAATTTCGTGGACAAAATGATTTACGGTGGAAAAATTCAAGGGATCACTTCCATTGATTTTCATTGACAGAAATTAAAATAAGGAGTTATGACAATTTCAGAGACCATTTTAGCTGTAACGTCAAACTCAAATAACGTCGTGGATCCAGTTGTTTACAAGGCCCGCAGTTTTATAGTCCAACTCCAATCCAAAGCCGTTAGCCCAAAAACAATGGGAGGATAAAATGGTAAAAGAACGAAACGATATCGAACGCGCGGGGGCGCCAAGTCAACAAAAGTCAAACCAAAAAACCCACCAAAGCTAAATTCGCGCCAAAAAAAGATTTAAAAAAACCACGAAAATCTCCCGCCGAAATAAAAACCCCTTAAAAACTCACAACGCACACAGATACTCTCGTATCGTATCTCGCCACCTCCATCCGCCTTCATCATTTCTAGAGAGAGAAACAAGAGAGAGAGAGAGAGAGAGAGAGGAGAGAGAGAGAGAGAGAGAGAGAGAATGGCGAAGTTAATGCCGACACCAGATGCGATTTCGACCATCTTGGCGAACAAGTCGCCGGACGAGTCGGTTGAGCTGCCGGAGATAGTGGTCCAGGTCTCCGATCTTATCCCTAGGGGAAAATCTTTCATGTGAGCTTTGCTTTCTCTGTTTGGTCTTCCCTTTTCTCGCTTTCTTTTCTTTGTGGGTTTTTATTTAGGGTTTTCTAGATCTGGTTGCTGTCTTCAATTTTTTTTGGGAATTTAAGTTTTGGGTTTTGTAAAATGAGTCTTGATTAGTTTCGAACGTGGAAATTTTGGGTGTGATCGAGCTTTTGTGTTTGTAATATGGTGTTCTAGGTTTACTGCTACTGATGGAAATGCGAAGCTAAAGGGGATGCTTTCCTCGAGGCTGGGTCCCCAGGTCACATCTGGGGAGATTCAGAATCTGGGTCTCATTCGCGTTCTCGGTTATTCTGTTAATTTCAATCCAAACTTGTCTGAAAAGTAAGCGTTTCGATTTGATTCCCTATGTCTGTCCCTCTTTTGAAATATTGTGAATGTAAGTGTTGATGTTTTTGCTTTGCTGTTTTCAGTTATCTGCTTGTAACAAAATGTGATGTAGTTTCGGCTGCACTTGAGGCGGAGGTGAAAAATGAGGTGAAAAAAGAAGATGTTGGGATTATCTTGAAGCCCAAGCAAGAAATGGCATCGAAATCTGTTGCCCAAATTGTGCATGAGCAGGCTGGGAAGTAAGTGGTTTCGTTTTGCTGCCAATCAGTTGTGACTATTTGAATTTATAATTGTGTATGTGTTGATAGTTTGATTTTATATGAATTGATTCCAGTATGGCTCCGTCTGCGAGAATGGCTATGACACGAAGGGTTCACCCGCTTGTTTCCTTGAACCCTTACCAAGGAATTTGGACCATAAAGGTTCGTGTTACAAACAAGGGTACGATGCGTACATACAAGAACGCTAGAGGTGAAGGTTGCGTCTTCAATGTGGAGTTAACAGATGAAGATGTAAGCCAAAGACTCGTTTGATTTTGTTGGCGTTCTTCCAGTTTCCCAATTCTAATTGCTTAATGTATAGTGTGGTGATTCTTATGTAATGTAAATTTGTTTGTGTTTGTTTAGGGAACACAAATTCAAGCAACAATGTTTAATGAAGCTGCAAAGAAGTTCTTTGAAAAGTTTGAGTTAGGAAAGGTTTATTACATTTCAAAGGGGTCTCTGAGGGTTGCTAACAAGCAGTTTAAGACAGTGCAAAATGATTATGAAATGACATTAAATGAGTATTCTGAGGTGGAAGAAGCTAGCAATGAAGCGGCTTTTGTTCCCGAAACAAAATTCAATTTTGTTCCAGTTGATATGTTGGGTCCCCATGTTAATGGAAAGGAGCTTGTGGGTAAGCAACCCACTCCGAGAATCTGTTTTCGATGTGTGTTTTCTGTTTTCTCAATTACTCATATCTGATTCATATCCCAGATGTTATTGGAGTTGTTCAAAATGTGTCTCCTACAATGAGCATTAGAAGGAAGATCAACAATGAGAGTATTCCAAAGCGTGATATCACCATTGCTGATGATACGTAAGCTTACAACACTTGTCGAGTAGCTGACTACACTTTTCCATATGTTAATGCTGTGTATTGAAACAATTTGTATTTGAACTGCAGGAAGAAGACAGTTGTGGTTGCTCTGTGGGGTGAGCTTGCAACTAGTGTAGGCCAGCAATTGCTTGACATCGCTGATCAATCTCCGATAGTCGCTATCAAGTCCCTCAAAGTTGGAGACTTCCAAGGTAGCCTAAAAGTTCATACAATAACATCGCAACGAATTTATGCATTCTTGAAAAACAAACGACTATCAAAGTTCCCGTTTTTTATGTACTCTTTTATATATTGTTGCAGGTGTGTCATTGTCAACACTGAGCAGGAGCACAATATTGGTAAATCCAGAGTCACCTGAAGCAAAGAAGTTGCGGTCCTGGTAAGTTATTCTCCATCAGGATTTTACCTTTATTTTATCTCCATATGATTAAGTTTTCTCATAGCTGAAATAATGATAAAATTGACTTAATTGACAGGTATGATTCTGAAGGTAGAGTTGCTTCATTGGCCTCTGTTGGCTCTGGTATGAGCCCATTAGCCAAGAGTGGAGGAAGGTCCATGTACTCTGACAGAGTCACCCTGTCTCATATATCCGAGGACCCGTCCTTGGGTGAGGATAAGGTATATATACAATATCTACAGCTCTTAATTGCATACGAATCTTCAGTTAAGTAAATTTTGCAGTCTCAAAACTAA